TCACTCTGTGTTATCCCTCATTATGGTAGATAGTATGAGTCAGCATTTTCGCTCATTGTGAAATATGCCATTGGTCTGCGATATCACTCGTTACGATATGTGACATAGCGATGTCGTTCTTTGCGATATCGCGATATATGGCACGAGTCAGCACTACGACTCATTGCAATATATGTATCAAGAGTGCGATATCATTCATCACGATATGTGTCATAACGATGTGTAGCTCGAATATGCGATATCACTCATCGCGATATATGGTATGATATCACTTTCTATGATAAATGGTACGAGTCAGCAATATCGCTCAGTGCTATATTGGGTATCATTCATTGCGATATATGCAATGAGTCAACCATACAAGATATCTGTGTATGTACGAAGCCGTTTCTGCAATTATACCACTCATTGCGATGTATGTGACGAGTCTGCGATGACAGTCATTTATGCCAGTCATTTATGCCAAACTGTATTTCGCTTGCATGCACATGAGCAAAACGGTTGTGTTGAAAATATTCTGTCTTCATCTTTCCTTGTCTATTCTTCAGGTGAGTGTGAGAATTTAGTACACAAATTATCAAGATACTGAATTCTACGTAACTATTTATTCAGGCGTACAGAGATATGATATAAAATATTGACTTTCAACTTGAAATCAGTCAATATGGGAAGACACGCGTCATTATCTCCAGTGATCTTCTAAATTCAGAAAAAAAAAAACACGTGGTTCTTGCAACAAGAGTGTTGAAACACGATATTCGGTTGTCATGGAAACTTGAACATAACACTTTGCGAATCACTGTATTCCAAAAAGTACGAAGTAGCGTTGAATATTGAATCGGGTTAATTCATGTTTCCTGGTTGAACTACCGTCGTAGCCTCGTTCGCAAACTACATTATCTGTAACTCATCAACACGGCCCTCGGGCTTCGTACATACACAGATATCTTGGATTACTGCGAATTAGCATATTGTGTTCAGTTTCAGGAAAGTACCCTACTAGAAAAAAAAATGGGAGAGAAAAAGAATAAAATTCTAATTGACAGTGTCCTATTTTGTCCGGGATTTCTATTCCCACACGACTTTATACTTATTTCATTTATACAAATCGGATAGCAGACTCGGCTTAAAAAATGGTTAGGTGTTATAATAGTCGCGATGATGATCACCACGACTAGTGCGCCGCTATGGGATTCTGTGCGGCGAACGTTATAATATGGTTGGCGTCTAAGATTTCGCTGCAAGCGATTGTGATGTGCTCTGGGTTCAGTCTCATTTGGAAATAATAGAAAATAGAGACGTATACTTCATCTTTCTTGGAAAACAATCTTGTCAACGACTTACATGTGCTGTCGTGATACAGGTCTGGTCGATAATCATTTCGTCTTCGTGAGTACGAGGTTGAAAAGCACTTATTCATAACTAGATCAATATATTCGACGTATGAGAAATTGATTCCGGTAGCTTCTCAAGGTGCCATACATTTTCCCTGTAGCGTTTCATTTGAGTGTGTGTGTGTCTGTCGTCACGACAACACTTAAAAATAAATAACATAAGGGTAGCAATATATATGTACATATATATGAAATGCGCTCATTGTTAAATACAACTTCTCAAACAGTGTAGTGTGATGTTCTAATTCAAATGTTTTTTTATGAATTCATTTTAACGTAAATGAGTATTTAGTGTAGTTCTACCATAGCCAAATGAACCAATACTAAATCGTTTAAAGAGCAGTGGTAGTCGTACCGCGTCCTGTGCGATATGGGACTCATAGTGACGTACACAACGCATGGAAAATACATTGTTTATTTACATGAAATTCGAACACGCGCTGCGCGACGACCACCGCGCTTTAATAAATACATCTGGGTGGCATAAAATACATGCATTTTCTTCCGATGTATCTAGGACATTCACATTAAAGGTCTTCGCACATCGCGTGTTCGAATTTCATGTAAACAAACAATGTACACGCGTTACGTATGTCGCTACTATAAGACCCCTATTCGAACAGGACGCGGCGCGACGACCACCGCCCTTTAAACGCCAAAATATTGTAAATTCATTCGTAAGTGCGTGCAAGTAAAATATCAGGAAATTAAAATATGTAGATTAGTTTAAGCAGCATGTTGACGTTTTAATTAATCCTCTACCAATATTTTACACGTTACGGATAACACTTTTTCAATGTTAAAAGACAATATTTATGTCGTGTATCTGAAAAGCAGGAAGGTGACCAGTTTAAAGTCACCCTTCAGGGCAATTTTAAAATATTTGTTGAGCTATCGTTCAAACATATATCTCAAATGCTATGTACTGTGTATCCGGTTTATTTGTATAATCTTGTCTAAGTATACAAAATGATTAGAACATTTTAAAAAAAAAAGATATTGAAAAAATTGTTCACACCAATGATGACCGTCTTTTCGAAAGCAGTGATTTTTTTTTCTCAAAATTATGACAAAGTAAAATATGCGTAAAGAATGAATCTGAGCAAGTGGAGAATGGTAATTGATGCAGCTGTTAGAGGCTGTCCGGGGTTTTATAGAATGTGCTTACTAGATACGCCTTTTTACATCCTACTCTGAATCGTATCGTTCGCAATGGTGTCCGGCGCAAATACAAGTACGGATTTAGCGAGTGATTCTAGATCGGATGGGGTTACGATATATGAAAATACTCATACATGTTGTCAACATTTTCAAGTTTACTGTATTTATCCAATTCTGTGTCATTTCGTCTTCTGAAGTCCTTCTGAAATTATGCAATCCTGTAAACTGTTTATCTGTATCACGATTTTATTTGCTTACTATGCTGCCAGTAAGTTTGACGTACATGATCGGGTATGTCCCACGTAGTGCGATCACGGTCACGATCGCTAAATGATTTAAATTACTGTAAAGCTATTGCATATGTATATCTACGTCTGGATATATTAAATCATTACCATATACTACGATCACCATTTCTATATACTTACCTTTGTACATAATCCCCATTCGTAAATATCCTTATGTGAAATTTACGTTTACGTTTAATGATTTATGTTTTCTTTGTGAGCATGCACTATGCTGATCGTTTTTCAATTGCATTCTCAACTAAGCATATTTTAGCTAATCTGTGAGAGCAGGTGGTGTGACAGAAGAGACGCAATGAATTGTAAGAATTTTTCAAATTTAGCATATCATTGTAATCGATCAGAAAACGAAACGAAAAATTGAATATACTGCGGAAGATTAAATGTATAAGCACTGTGCAACTTAACATTCAAGTAAGATCGGACACGAGAACCTTGTCCCGGGTAATTTACAATGTTGTCAAATGTATGTATTATAATTATATTTATTATTTTTATTAACTATTATAATAAAATGTTAGTTTTACATATTTATGCTAATGTATTTATATCGCATTAACTAAATGTGGCTCGGAATTTTTATGAAGATGTATGTATAGATTTACGCCGCACAAGCACACAGCATTTGGATGAGGGTAAACCTAAGTCAGCGTACTGACGCCTGTCAACATATGTTCAGTTACCGCTATATATTATGTACTGTATTATTTACGTCACAGCTGTGATACACGCACCTGCCGGGATACATCTGGAGTAAATTAATGGTTTAACTAACTATGGCGTCGATATATATCTTCCATGTTACAAAATTAATAAATCAGTTAGTTGCGTACTTGAAAAACAATTTCTACTTGGTTTCTGGGTGCTGGCTTCTGATAGCATTTTCTGAGCGTTCAGAGTTACTTATAATACCAGAGCTTACTTTTTAATTATAAAAGCATAACTTATCTATTAATATATTATTTTTATAAATTCATTCAGGTGAAACTCGCCATAATTTTGATTTTCTTGTTTAAGAATATACCCTGTTTATATCATTCCATTCTTTTAAAGATATAGTTTCAGACTCATACTGCCCTCAATGTTAATAACAAAATTCACTTGTACGTTTGTTTTTTGACGTCGTTGAACAATTTCTATTGGCGTTCACTATTTCAGGCTATGTTATGTTACAACATGTAGTGCCCACTTTTTTTAGATAATGGATAATTTCACTGATAATGAGCGACAAAGTCAGGCGAGAATCGTACCGTTGAAATTGATTGGTCGTTCCAGTCATTTATGACTCTTTTTTTAAAGGCAAGTCTAACTCGATCTAGCGACACTTTATTCAGATAATGGCTTTATATACATAATGCCTACCCACCATTTAGATTTAATGTCAACATTCGTGTAAATTTTAAAGACAGTGTCGTCAGTGAAAATACAGAAAATACTGAATTCTAAAGTTAAGTTATTAGATCCATCACCCTTAATCGCGTAATCGGAGGGTGAAATCAAGGCTTAAAGGCAAACACGTTGTTTTTTTATTTAACATAACATGTATGGCAGAAAGAATATATTATATAATCTTCCATTCAACTTGAACATTCTTAAATAGAAGCAGCTATTATTAGGAGACGAATTGTGTAATAAATCCAGTATGTTTTTTTTTTTGCACATATGCTATGCTGTATGGAGATGCGGAATGTAATCGACACACTTTCTTTTAAAATAATTCATTCAACTCTTTGGCGGTAACTGCCTCCGCGTGTGAACAAATCTCAATTAAGTGGTACAAGCCACAATCATACCAGCAGAAAATGTTATTTCAAAATAAATTACTCCAAAAAATCCAATATAAACTTGAATTATTACCCAGCTTACTACTACCCTGGAATGAATATATTTTACCTTTTTTTCAAATGTTGCATATAATTTAGTGTTATTGCGTTAATACGAAGTATAAACATTATTGTTGTTTTCCTTCTGGTTGTTACATTGAAGCTTTTTTTTAAAAGCTTGGAAACCATGAGAGAAAATCTACATTGTCAAAAAAAACTCGCTTGTTAGAGGTACAGCGCCCTCTCTGGTTTCCACAATCAACAGCTTCGGTTCGGAGGTCAATGAACCTTATCTCGAGTTGTTTTTTTGTTCATAAAAAAATGGCGTCGACCACTGGCACTGACTCGACAAAATTATCGGTAAGTCAATACAGAACTATGGTTCTTCTGTGTTTGAAGTGTGTAGTTATGCATGTTTGTGATAAGTATTCATACACGGCACAAAAATGATTAGAATGTATGGCTTTGATCTTATGGTATGTCCACATAACATGTACCGGTAATCGAGTAAACCAACCCGCACTGATCGGTTTAAAGTTTGTTGACCTCTATTCGTGCTATAATCTGACCTCGATTTTATGTGACTATGATACTAAAGGTGAAATTTTACGTTCTAGACTGTTACACATTCTCTGATATTCTCAGCTGAAATGTGGATAGTATAAAAAGCGTAAAGACCATTTTCGATGGCGGCGTGAACGTGAACGTGTTGCGATACATTGGACCCGGTCAATCGTACAACAAAGAGGTTTTTTGGGTACCGTAGTCAGCCATCGTCATGTGTAGATCGCTGGGACATGGTCAATTGAGTGCATATAATGCCGGCTGACTGCGAACATTAACATATGCATCCATGCGGCGAATTCGGATCCAATTTTAAGGTTTACGTTGAAGTTCATAAGCCTACTCATGATTTGTTTAAAGTTTGTCATAAATCGCATGACAATGATTATTGGTTTTTTATGTAAAATTCCATGGTAACATAAAATGGATCCTTCTGTGTGTTACAATATCGAACTTATCAAAAATTTGACACATATTATTTCGAAAATTACTATTTTTAGAACAATTCCATAGAACAAAGTTAAAGCAAATTTTTTTTTTATTTTTTAAACTAATTAAATCCAGGATATTTAAAATAATTTATGATAATTGCATGTTATTCACAGCTCATATTGGAGATAATCTGTTGATATTTTTTTGAGCACATTATTTGCATTATTTCCTGCGAATGACGTCTTTGTCATATGTGCATCTTTATATCCACATGAAAACTAACCAGGAGAATGAGAACATACATGTGTATCGTATACCATGAGAGCACGTACAGTGTGTTACTTGATCAGGATGCGTTCTCGTGATTTTTGTGGAATATGTAAATATTTTTTGTATGTATGTAAAACAATTTGCATTGCCAATTTATGGACTCAGAATATACATGTATCTAAAACTAGCATATGTTAAGTATTTCTAGATATCTTGCTAAGTACTGAGTAAATATGAATCTTTAATGTTAAATTGTATGAACATGCACCGATTAACCACATTTAGGGATGAAGTCGCCCATGGGTGTTACCCACAGTCAGCTGGCGCACACGTGATAATAAAATAAATGCGATATTTACTATATGGGGGCCGCCATCATGAATGCCGCATAAAACTAAATAAGAGACAAGTTGTGAAACGTGTTTTACAGATTCCTACAAATCAGGACAAAAATACCAATCTTTCACAAAAATACGGTTCGTATATCAGGTGTGCGCCAGCTGACTGTGGTGTTACCATATAACAAGACATCATCTTGCCAAGTGAACTTTTAGCGTTGGTTCTTTGCTGAAAGCAGATAAACCATCTCAATTCTGAATAGTTTCATTGTCAATATCGTTAACGATTCCGTAGTATGCTTATACTACAAAGACTGAATTCAGAGTTTCAGTCTATGTGACGTTGTTGCACAGGGTCCAAAGATATCGCATGCCTGTGATCATCAAATACCGCAAAATATTGCCACTGCTAAAACAATAGAACACCGTGAATATCACATTGCTCATCTGATAATACCGGGTATTGCTCGAAGCAATATTGATATTTTCTCTCACGCTACATGTACTCACTGGTCATGTCAAAACCATTAGGCTGGCATATACAAGAATTTACTAATGCACATACCCAGTTTTAAACTGTATTTAAAAATCTGGGTGAAAAGGTGAAAGGGTGAATCAGAGTTCAACAAACTTTGCTGTGACAAAACATATATATTCAATCTTACCATGAACCTAAAACTCAAAACAGCTGAAATAAATTGTTATTTATTTTACTTACATGTTAATTTATTAATTTGTTGTTACACAGTGGGCATACCTGTATTTATAATGTAATATGTATTTTGGTGTGACACTGGTATTTGACCTTGTCTTGGTGCAAAATGTCATGATATATGTATGGTAATCAAATCAAACATGGACAAGGTACTGTACTTGGCTTTTATGATGTAAACTCCGTAGTACTGCTTATCAAGCAATATATGTCAGTCAAGAATTTAATTGAACTTTGCATGACAGATGTATCCTACATTCTATAGGTGTATTCACTCTTCACCAAGATAGAATTACTCCCTCACCCATGGCTGACTGCCCCACAATGCGTATGGTTTGGTTCACTATCAGATGGCATTGTCTGAATTGCATGGTTTCTGAAAACTTGATAAACCCCTGCATGATTCTATCTAGAAGGTCACATATTTGACCTTGGTAAAATACTTAGATCTGATTGGACGTGCCTCTAAAACATGTACCCAATCAAAGGTTCCCTATAGTTGCACATGGCAATGGATATCAAAAAAATGGTAAGATGTCAACTTGGCGAAGAAGAGGCGCTTTAAAACATACTCTAATCTGACAAGTACAGTTGTAAGGTGATGGTCGAATAAAGAGACCACATCTCAAAGAGTAATGAATTTCTCGAAAATGACTGACTACTTTTTTTAACGTTTCAAACGTGTTGAATCTCAATTACATCTGATTTACTGCTGTTATAGAGTTGCATACCGGTACAATATGTCACCTCACTGATGTTTAGATTGGCTACAATGATATCAAAAACCGATCATGTATTTTTCCTTGCAATGGTTTTCCAATTTGTTATCGAATGAGATAACATTCACCCTATTCAAAAAATTAACAAATAATGTTATGAATTCATTAATATTCATGCTCATGGAAACCAATGAGTTCTATGAGTATGTTTAGCTGAATATTCACTGGGATTTAGTTTAGTGCAGTGGTAACCACCAGCAAAATGAGCAAGAATGAAACTCAGTGAATAATAGAAGTATGTACCACACAAAACATGTACCGGGTATATATAGAAAGTCAAGAAGAAAAACTTTTAATACAGAGACATACCATTATTTGTTTTTGTTGCAGGGGTTGACTGAGTTCATCCAACAATACAAGACTTTGTTAAAACCATACGCGGATACTGCTTTAGTGTATGCAAATAATTGTAGAACGGCCGTGAATACGTATTGCGATGATTGGGAACCGTGGCAGATTATTTTATGCACATTAGGTCTGACCGTAGCTGTTATATGGATCTATCAATTCCTATTTGACCATGATCTAAGTAAGTATGCATGCGTTTGAAATATGCCATATAACTCTTTTTGGTTGTTAGTTAAAATTAAAGTACGCCCTCTAAAAAAATAACTTGTTTTTTTTTTCTTGTAAAATTAATGCAATTTGCTGTAGATTCAATGATAACTGACTTTTAAAACCTACCATGTGGAATTGAAGCATCAACGCCAATTGAGCAGAGGTTGATGGTTGAACCTCCCATGGTTGAATTGTACGCTTGAATCCATTCTTCGTTTTTCAAAGTGTGGCTGTTTGCGATATGTATACAATTAAAGAGGCATGCTTAAATTTTGAACAACTGGAAAAACCAAGAGGGGGGTCATGTGATTAATATAGTTATTCTGGGTTTTTATTTTGCTAGAAACACATTTCCTGGGTCAAGGGAAAGCTGCAAAATTTTTTACCAGTTCACATTTCCTTGTGACTCATTGTGACTACCTCAACTCAACTAATCAAAATCATGAAAATTAACACCGAAAAACATTGTCTGAGAACTGGCTTAACTTCAGTACCTCTGTCACTCATACATATTGATGAATAATATAAGCATGAATTTTAATTTCAATTGTTTTTTTACACAGGTCCCTGGCAAAGATTAAGCAAGTTTTTTTTCAAAACTATTAGAAAAATACCTATTATTGGACCAAAGGTAAGTCACTTGCTATGTTCACGTTACGGGATCTCGGCACGTGTCGAAATTTGTAATCCTTTGTGTTTGCAGAAGGATTACAGCAGTTACATTCACATTAGTTGGGACCCACTTAGGACCACCTTGGCTTGAGCGGAAATCACGCCCGCATCCGTCAATCTGTTATTTGACCAAAACATGGAAAACGATACGCATATGATAATAATAATAATTGCTATATTGAAATTATATTCATTTGTTGTTATGGTATTTATTACGAGTCATCGTGCACTTGAACGGCAAAGAAGATTCAAGATTCGGCATGTGCCGAGATCTCTAACGTGAACACCACTATTACAGCAAAACATATATAGGTCTATATAGTACAATACTTTGTTACATTAAATTTGAACATTATGGTGTGTTTTTTTCAAAATGAAATATAATATTCTTGTTTATTTTAGATCCAGCAAGAGATTGAAAAGACAATGCGTGAAATTGAGAGCAAATTGTTTCCACTCGGTCCGGGACAGAGGTACGTCAATCAACTACCTGACAAGGGAATAAAAGAAAATGAACTAATGAAATTAATTGAAGATAAATATCATGCAATAGGTAAGACTTCAAGGAATATTACCGGTATAAAAAAAAAAATTAAAATACAATCAATTGAATCATGTTTCAGTGAAATGTCTCTTTTTATTTCAGAATCCCATAACTGGGAGAAGGGCATGGTTTCTGGCACAGTGTATTGTGGGAGTCAAGACCTAACAAGGCTGACTGCCAAGGTATAGCAATACCATTCTACTTTACTCCCCTTGCATGCACTCTATCTTCTCATCTTACAATATAACATTTGATATAATTAAAACCTAATATTTATGCTTTCAGGTTTATGGGGAGTTTGCCTGGGCCAATCCATTACATCCGGATGTGTTCCCGGGTCTTCGTAAAATGGAAGCCGAGGTGGTAGCAATGTGTGTTCGAATGTTCAATGGTGGACCAAAAGCATGTGGCGCGGTAAGTTTCATACCAACTACTGTATTTGTTTTATTGACTCCCATGTGCGAAGCACAAAATGGGAGTCTTTGCAGTTAGTGTGTCTGTATGTGTGTATGTGTGTATGTGTGTATGTGTGTATGTGTGTGTGTATGTGTGTATGTGTGTCCGACTGTTCCACTGCTATCTCAAGAACCATACATCGTTTTTTGATGAAACTTGGTGCATAGATGCTCTGGGCCAATGCGCAGATTTGATTAGGTTTTGGTAAAAATCCATGCTCGTTAATTACCTAATTTGCATGATAATTAGCTATTTTTTAGCTGTTCTATGACTGTTCCACTGATATCTAAAGAACCACTCATTGGATTTTGATGAAACTTGGTACATAGATGCTCTGAACATATGCGCAGATTTGATTAGTTTTTGGTAATAATCCGTGGATACTAATTACCTAATTTGCATAATGATTAGTCAATTTTCGGTTTTTCCACTGATATCTCAAGTACTAATCATCACATTTCAATGAAACTTGGTACATAGATGTCATACGACACTGCACAGACCTGATAGTTTTTATGGTAATATCAGTACATATTAATTACCTAATTTGCATAATTAATTAATTTTCAGCATTTGATATAAGTAG